AACAATTCACTAGATACAACTGTCATCCGGACTGCATTGGAAAAAAAAACACCAAGGAGTGTTTAGTTTTGTTGTCAATTTCCACACTCAATTCTCTCTGCTTTGTTTATGCACAGCAGGGGCTTTGGTTGTTACACCATTAGAAAGGTAGCCAGTACTTCCTTGTTCTGATCTTTGGGATTTATGCACCTGTATCTCAGATCTCACGATATATCTACCAACAGGACTCAAAGTATGTTTTATTTTGCTGACTAACCCTTTCCAGGAAGTCAAGCTTTCTGTTTCTATTTCACTAAAACCCTTTTACAATAAACTAAATTTCAGAATTATTACTAGGAAGGCAGATTTTTGAACTCTGCATTTACTATATCTACTGTATACATTAATATATTAGGACAAATTCAGAGGTAAATGCCAATGTCAGTTACATCCATTGGTAAATCAGTGTAAGAGGATGTAATTTAAACAGCAAGGGATAAAGGGGTCAGATTTTAGAAGAAAAAGCAACACATCGCACCCACATCCAAATGCATCACCGCCACATGTGGCACTAATTGGTATAGTTGTGTTTAGTCTCGCTGGAATGCCCTGGGATTGATTGGGTGTGGAGAAACTGAACTCACCCCTCACTTCTAGAATTGATGTCTCCAGAAGAGATATGATGCCCTCAGAGGAGTAGAATGGGGAAGCCTTCACTGATGCCATATTGAAACTGCTTTATGACTAAATAGAGGACTTCGGTCTCCAGGACCCTCAAGGCCTGTAACTTTCAGGAGCACTAAATTCCCTCTTTAAACAAGCATCACCCTCCCTCTCCCATCCCCTCCCCATCTCAGAAAAGCAAAGAGTGAAATAATGAAGTGAAACTGTCACTGGAAAAGGTTTCCCAGTGGCTACTGCCGTATGTATGTGTATTTAAATATCTGGCACAGCTACATCAAATGACATAACAAACCGAGTAAAGGAAAATGTGTCCTTTCTCAGGAACAGTGATTATCTGCAAATTTAAACCCTAGATTATACTAGTAACAAGAACCTTATGGCTGTTGCACTAACCTTTTTTCTGCATTTTATCATTAGCACCAATAACAACATCTGCAGGGAGTAATTAGTATCGCCCAGAGGGGAAAGGAATTCTGCCGGAGGACATCATTATGTCTGGAAAACTAAAGATGTTGTAGCGTAAGGTCATGAATAAATTGCTGGTGTCTGGGGTGGAGGAGAAAACAGATAAAAAGTTCAAAGTTTCATATTTCTGTTAATGTGCCTAAGAAGAGCACGTTAAAATTTCCATTGGAATGTCATTAGGGAAATTAGTCAGTTCCACCAGTTCACTTTGCTGGATACCATATGTTTACCTTGGGGGAATGTTTGGAGAGAACCACTTTGGGTTGATTGTAAATGTCACAATTAAATAAGTAAATATTACAGAGCTGTATCTGTGATCTGCACCAGTGCACAGATCCTGTATACCAGCACGTTGGTGTGTCCTATTATGTATATATGCGCATATAAATATGTACTTTGATGGAGTAAATCCATAGCAATCAGCTTATCTGGACACACAGACACCAGCCACAAACAGCATCCATATTTTGTCTTCCTGATCTGTTTTATCTCTACATATCTAATGCACTGTACTTGCCCTTCTGCAACCATTTTATGCATGCATTGTAAACTCGGAGAGCCTGTGCGTGGGACATCCCATGTTGTGGTTGATAGGAACTGCATATATAACTCACATGGTGCAAAAAAGATATTCTGTAAATCTTTCAGTTTTCAGAATATCAAATTAGCCATATAGTGAGTACAGTTTATTATTGGCCCAAATATGTGGGACAGTAAATGTCTTAAATTTCTATTGATTCTGCTAGGCGATGAGGGTGCTGCGTGGACCTTAAGAACACTTACACAAAACTGTCGCCTAGGTTTTTAAAATGTGAACTTAAGACCACACTCAGTAACAACTCTGTTAGCCTTCTGCACTGCAGAAGCCGTGGAAAATTGATTTTCCGTTTTCCCATTGGCTTCAATGGATCTAGATTTGGTCCCGCAGTGTAAACTTTTCCGCTGGATTTTATCCACTTTTCAAAGTTTTAATTTCTCATCTCTTAAACGTTCAAAATACAAAAGCCACCAATTATGGCCACAGCTTTGTGCTTGGCACAGTTGCTCATTTTTAGAATCACAGCTGGCATCAGAATACTGGATACCAATTTCCAATATTTTTCCCCCCGAAGGCTGCTTTTTAGGCATTTAAGGGCATTAAAGTTAGTGAGAGTCTTTCTGTGGACTTCGATGAGCTTTGTAACAGGCCCTTAAAATGTGAGCGCCATTGTTTAAAGTATAGCAAGAGCATGCCTTTAACAGAAACAAATAAGCTTACACATGCTGTTAAGGCAATCATGAACAGGAAAAGTGCTTATTTCTTTAAGGATCCAGAATTTGTTCACACAATAGCACTTAAAGCCTTGGTGTGTTTATAAGCTCTGCTTCCCATTTTACAATAACTGTTTTGGGGAAAGGAAATCTCCACCTTACTTGTGAACAGAAACAAGACATGTTATCGACTGCCATCTGGGAAGATGGATGCTCTGGCCCTCATGAGTCTATTAATATTTGATGCTGATGGATGTGAACTGGCAGCTTGCATTATTGATGGAATTGGGTTCCTTGGACCTAGCGTATCAATACTTAGGGGAGAATTAACAATAATGAGCGTTGCATGCCCAAATCTCTGCCAAGGAATGTAAAAGCCTATCATTTAGTTTTAGCAACAATTAGCTAATATTTCCTGTATTATTGTTACTATTAATCAACTATTCATTCTGATTACAAGTCAACTCTTTGGCGTCACCGGTGCCAGACATCCCATGTGTGTATGCTTGGTGCACTGTGATGTTCCCATCATGTTCAGAATTAGAGCAAATGAAGGGCCTGCTCTTTTTAGTTGCTGAGCATGCCAAGAAGTGCTGAGTAGCCTCGCTCCTGTTAAATGGAGGCAGGGCCGGCTCTGGCTTTTTTGCCACCCTAGGCAAAAAAAGCCACCCTCCGCCGGCCCCCCACCCCCAGCGCGGCATGGGAGGGCGCCGAGCCCGGCTGCGGGCCTGCAATCCCTGACCTGCTGGAGCGCCGGGAGCAGGGCGGAGAGCCCGGCCGGGGCTCTCCGCTCTCCCCGACGGCCAGAGCACCGGGAGGAGGGCGGAGAGCCCCCGGCGGCCAGAGCGCTGGGGGGAGGATGGCGGAGAGCCCCCGGCGGCCAGAGCACTGGGGGGAGGATGGTGAGCCCACTGCGGCTCCGCTCTCCCCTCCCCGGTGGCCGGAGCGCCGCGGGGAGGGCGGCGAGCCCAGTCGCGGCCCCGCTCTCGGGCCGGAGCGCCCCGCCGCCCCAAGCACATGCTTGGTGGGCTGGTGCCTGGAGCCAGCCCTGAATGGAGGTGTTCAGTATTTCACAGGATTGGGCCTGAAGAAGATGTTGTGGGAAGTGAGAGAACATGAATCAGGCAGACACTGCTTTACAAGGGGAGATGGACTTTAATGTCACAGTTTCCTGAATTAGGGCTGATCCAATTCCCGTTAAAGCCAGTCAGTCTTTCCATTGACGTAAGTGAGAGTCGAATTTGACCCTTAAAGCCATAAAGTTTTGTTCGGATGGATACAGGGCATACATTTTGATGAATTGAGCCTTCAACTTGAAATACCGGAGCAACCAAATGAAGCGCTTCTGAACGTTTATGATGTCCATATGGATCACTCTGGTATGGAAGAGAGACGTTAAATATCAGGTTATTTATAGCTAGATTTTTTTTAATATAGCTGTAATGTTTTCAGGGGTATACATTTGATTGAATTAGCTATTCCTTCCCATCTCACATACCAGATTCAGGCTTTTCACTATACTCATTAACCTTCTGAACTTCACAGAAAAAAAAGAATAATCAACATAAGGTGCACAGCTGTTGATTAATTTTACTAAATAGGATAGAAATATAAAGTGCCATATTGCAAGAGGGAAGATCCAGTAAACAACATTTGATACCAGTTTAATAGAACATATAACTCATTAACAACTGGATAGAAATGTACTGCAATATTATCCAGTGAAGCAGGTGGGAAGAGGTGCATGGAATTTACATATCTTTAACAGTACCTTAATGTATTTAATTCACAGGTCAGTCTCCCAAATCAAGTTCAAAATGTTAATAACTGGTTCTGCATTTATAATTAATAATATCTTAGTGCCAGTGCTACAGTTCAAGTGCATTTTCCTATTATATAATTAAGAAGTTAAGTGTATGTGGCAGTTGTCACTCAGAAAGCGTTCTGGAGGTCTGGCTAGTTATAACCAGGGAGAGAAATCTCATTACGCCAGCTAGGTGGGGGAGACAAGGTGTTCTGTTTTGCTTTTTTAATTCAAGGTTGTTCACACAATAAATATAACTGCGAAGGGACAAAGTAGCTAACTGCGGTTAAGCCACAAAGTACAGTATACACCTCTACCCCGATATAACGTGATCCGATATACCATGAATTCGGATATAAGGCGGTAAAGCAGCGGGGGGGGCGGGGCTGCGCACTCCAGCGGATCAAAGCAAGTTCGATATAATGCGGTTTCACCTACAACATGGTAAGATTTTTTTGGCTCCCAAAGACAGCATTATATCGGGGTAGAGGTGTACTTAAATTACATACCTTAATGGTCCCCAAAACCCAAAGACTTTTAGAGTAAAGGCTGAATTGTCATGGTGGTACTGGGCATTTTTTATAACACCTTTCTTCTTACGAGCTCAAAGTGCTTTATAAACATTTACACCCCTCATCCCTGTGACTAAAGTGGGAAAATATTATTGGAGCCAGACCTAGTGATAGTGATAACTCTGCAGGGAATTTGTACCACGGGAGGATCTGCCCCTTGGTATCCATGGTACAGCTGGCACAAGGGGATGTTGCATCTCCATACCCATAGTCACCGAGTTAGCAACAGAACCAGAAGTCCAGACACTCCATCTCTAGACCACACCTTCATCCTACTTACTGGAGCATTTTATATCCATGCCCTATATTGCCACAGTGGGGTGACTGAACACTAGACTTTACAAATAGCTCTGCTTTTCTTTCCTTCTACAAGAAAATCACTTTTACTTCTAGATCACCGGTTCTAATCCAGCACAGGTTGTAGTCATCAAAAATTAGTAGTGACCACTGGCTGTTCCATGTCCTGTGTGAAATGAGTTGGAAATCTCATTCAGGTTTCCCCATCACAACAATCTGATCTATAAGTGGCACTAATTGGCCACCTCATTGTCGCTCTCAGCAGAAAGACTGAATGCCTCTCTAACATCCAGATCAACTCCCGGTTCCCCCACATCAGTCTGGAGGCACATATGGCAGTGTGGGTGAAGAGAGCACTTCAGACACCCTGGCTGTCAAACCGACTTCTCTGTGCAGCCAAACGTTTTGGGGGGCCTTGTCTCTCTCTCTCTCTCTCTCTCTCTCCACTAAGATCTCCACTAAAGCCATCACCTTTTACAAACACAACATTCACTAAAAAATTAGACTATAGGATTTGCTTCTGGACAGGGCATATTTGTATGGTCTAGCTACCATCCCCTTAAAACAAGGATTCGCTGCACAGCAAAGGCTGAAAGTCTCTTACTTACAGTCTCTTACTGTACAATAGAAAGCTGGAAATTCTCTTAACCATTGTGGATTTGTAGTACTATAAAATCTGACCCTATTTCCTTTTGATGTCTCATTTGCTGCTTAGTGCTGTAATACGTAGTTTCCCCCAGTGAGGTGGTACTTTTTTAGAGCCTAAGCAAATTGACATTTTGTACATTTGTATCTGCTGATAAATGCATAGTCACATCAAAGGAGTGATGGTTCTTCTCCTGGGCATACACACATGAAATCGGCACCTTTGATCTTTAAGATGTGGGTGTCAGTGCAGTGCATGGTGGCTTTCTGTGACATATAACTGCATATTCTAATTGAATTCACTGAAGAAGAGCTTCAGTTTAAGAGCTTATTGTGACTTACACAACATTGCTGCACAAGGGAGTAGAAGACAGGGTATGTTTTCCCTGTACACTTTCGCGAGCTTCTCAGATCTTGGGTCTGGGCATACAGGACTAAGGGGATACTGCTCACCATTTTACTCCCTTGCTGCAGCAGGTGGAGAGGGTACGGACAAAGTCTTGGTTTCATC